AGAATACCTGAATGAGAACACCTTCTCCAACAGGTAGGAGACTGAGGTATGGAAAGCGTGAAGAGACGGGAAGCCTATTGCTCCTGTCACCCCATCCCCATCTAGACTGGGAACGGAGAAGGAAAGAAAGGGCGTTCCCTTAAAAAACATAATTGAGTTGAGACATAAATCAAGAGTCGGCTCACTGGAGTGAATTAAGTGTGGCTGATGAGAACAGTGGGGAAGTGAAAACCTTCAGCTGGGTGCCCAAGGGAAGGGAGGAGAGGAGATAAGATATGAGGTAGGTGCTGAAAGGGATGCAGAAGGATAGAAATGTGAACAGGTTAGAGTCGGTAAAACATTGCGCTCTGGGTCCTACTTTTCCCGTTCCAGCGGCTTGGAAGTGTGCAACAGAGCTGACAAAACAGCCCGCAATGAAGAGACGGAGACACCAGGACCACTTTTCAGTTATAAGCTTTTTCTTTTTTAGAATTCAAGCTTACACAGTTATCTATGCCCACTATATTCATAATTACATTTTAATATCTGCATACAAAAGCTATGTAAAAATTATTTTCTTCCCCCAAATATACAAATTTTCTCTTTAGATAGTTTAAAACATTTGTGATCACAGATTTTTTTTTAATATATTTTAGGCTGAAAAAATATTACCAATCTAGCATAAGTCTTAACACTGTTTGCAAAAAAATACATCATCCAAGGTACTTTGTCTTTTACCGTATGGTGTAATGTTTGCCTTACCCTCAGGGCACGAAACTGATATAAAAAAAAATAAACCAAATAAGCAAAACCCACAAACCTCATAGACAAAGCAAGAAGTCCTCCCAACCAACTTCATAAAAACAAATAAACAACCCAAACCACCCTTCTCTTCAAAAAAATTATGAATGACTAATTTGATGTATTTATGAGCAAACTAAAACTGAAGAGTGCTAAGGAAGTAGGAAAAGAGAAAAAGAAATTACAGTATGTCAGCTAGTTCATGCCCTGATACTATCTTTACCAACATTAAATGTGTAATTAAATAAAGTGTCTTTTAATGTTTTACATTGTGCTCAGTAATTTACATAAACTTAATCTACACCCGGGTGATGATGTAGATTTACATTTGATTGTCTTGTGCATAAACAACGTTAGCTTTTAAAGAAAGTAAACTGTGCAACGGACAGTCACAAACAACTTATTACCTGCACAATATTGCTTTTTGAAGGCGACATCAGTCAATGTGGATACACACAAATAATGCATACTCGTTGCATTTGCTAACATCTATACGACACACTAAAACTTTGTGATAAGGCCAAACCTTTTTTTTTTGTTTTTAATTTTAAAGCAAAAATATACCATAGTAAAAAAATGTGCTCACACTGTTTTGAGTCTTTAAGTGGAAAATAAATCTCTATCACACTAGAATAAAATTCTCTCTATAAAATTTAAATACGGATCACTTCATTGCTATATCAAAAGGAAACGTCTGGCAATCATTTCCAGATGATCACAATAACAAGACACATTAAGAGGTCCTGTCGCCTCTTCCTTTGTGAAAAGATAGATGTTGAACACTCTCAATTGCTCTTACAGCGAGAGGAATACGTTCCTCGGTTGTGGATTTTGATTCTGTCAATGAAAAAGGTTTAGCCTTAGGAATGCTGGCTACATCTCAAAACCATAAGACTGATTTTTTATAATTTATGATTCATGCAGCAAGAAGTCAATATGACACATACAGGTTAGAGTTCCATAGCATAAAAACACATCACTAGCAATGACATGCTCCGCTTGTGATCAACAGCCCTGTCTTGGCAGATTTCTGATATAAATGGTCTTTCTGGACAGTTTTTTCCTCTTCCTGATGCCTGCCTCTGAAGAGGCAAGCAGTCTGCTCAAGGATGATTTTGGACCTTGGAGGTCTAAACTCTAACATCTACATTTTGGCAGAATGTAAACAAAAATCATTATCACGCACTATATATGTCATTATAAATACCATAACTTAACTGAGATTACACATGAAATGAATATCTAAATGCACATGTTACTCAGGGCAAAACCATCAACGGTGACGATCAGGTTTGACAGGAAGAATCTTCTCTGTAAGACCCACACGTAGACCACAAAGCAAACATGAGAGTTACGTGGCACCATCGGAAACGAGACTCTGGACTGCACTGGCAAGTGCACGTTTGTTATTTCACTCGGAAGGCCAGTTACTACAAAGGGTGCTGACTGTAGCGGTGATGTCTGATGGTCAATCCAGTGGCTCAATCCTACAATGGCTTGAGACCGCTGATACTTAAAAGCAAGCATGCCTTTGCAGAACTAAGGTCAGTACCCACTGGTAAGAGTCTGTAAGAGCATCCTCATGTGATCTAATTTTGATCTCATGATCGCATAAATCAGGAGTTGTACTGAGGGAGTCAATGAAGTCACACGAAGTAAGACTGGTAGGAGATCAGAGGCCATTAGATGTCAGTACATCAAATCTGTCAAACTAAGAGCTTGGTCTTAGTTTTCAATTGAGGAATACTACTAATCCCCCCCTGTTAATCAGTGCCAGACTCCAACTTACTTAATCTACAAAGCTAGAAAAGTATGTTGACATACGTCCTTTCTGCTTAGAGCACTGCCGAACCTGTCAAAGTTGGTTGCCTGATTTTAGGCACTTCAGTCCATCTGCGATCACCTAAGGAAGGAGGCCTGATCTTCTGAACCCTGATTAAGCACAGCTCCAAACTGCATCACATCTTGGGAAGTCAGGCCATTAGCTCGGATGCCTAAATGCAGCATATATGCAATTCAGACATCCGTTTATGCAGGCTGTTAGGAAACTTCAGAACTTGCCATGGTAGACCTTGGGGAACAAGTCCCTGCATAAGCAACAAGTTTTACAGCCAGTGTGCAAAGTGTTAATTCTCAGCACTGTCTCAAACTGCAGTTCTGCCCAGGGTGTTTCAAGTTCTTTCATCTCTTGCTGCTTCCCCAACTCCATCCAGTAATTCTCACGTTTTTTTCTAACCTCTGATCTTTATTTATTTTTTGATTAATGCAGTCCTGACAATCCCAAGTGTTCAAAAGCCAGTTATGAGGGCCCCAATAGTTATGAGCTAAGTCACTGTTGGGTAGTGACTTCCCACCTGAATAATTAGCATTTAGGCTACTGATTTTCTTTATAGCCCAAAGGATAACCATTGTTGACCTTAATGACAGACTGAACCTCTCAAGCAGCTGCACAACTCCAGGAACTGAAGCTCTGAAAAACACATGAAGCATCATGGACCTTGTAGCGAGATCACTGTGAGTACTACTAGGAGAAACATGATGTTTTTTCTCCTGGTTCTCATCTGCAGCACAGTCAGAAGCTTGTACACTAACTCAAGCTCACATTTAGCAACCAGGTGAGACATCCCTGAAAACATAGCCAATAGTACTCCAAATGATGTACAATCATCAATAGGGGTGGAAAGAATTTAAACCCTGACACACACATACTGTGTTCTACCTACAAGATAAGTTTTCCCGAGTATCATGTTTTCATGAGGGCATAAACACGTAACATATGGGTTTAGATATGGGCCACGAGCTTTGAACGTCAACACATCCACCCTAACAATGCCCACTGACTTGCCAGGCAAATATATCAATAAATAGCAGAGAAAGAAACTGGTACAAGTGAATGTACAACACAAAAGAACATGGGGTATGAGGAAGTGCAAAATATGTGAACTAAGTCTCTGGTTCCCAGGAAGAACAGAAGGATGCTTTTGATGTATCATACAAATTCAGAGAATGGTTTAATACCAAGTTTATAAAACCCAGGGACAACACCCCTGAATGGAGATGGATGACAGAGAAGAACCTCTACCTATAATGCCCTCATCACCGGCCTCCAAACATTCCAGGACTGTGAGTACTGGCTTGCAGATTTTGGCAGCAGGACATCCTGTCATTGCTCAGTTTGGTTCCTGCTAGTGCAGTTAGTGGAAATAAATTAAAGGAATCAAGAGAGAATCTAGCCAAACGAAACACATACAGACACCAAGTAGGGAGAACCTAGCTGATCAACACACATAAACGCACACGTGCACAGGAGAGGGTGAGAGAAGGAGAGAGAGAAGATAAAAATATCAAAATATGTTTAAGACATCTGCTGAAGATTTGTAATTATATATATATAAAATTATATATATATGTGCATATAAACTTTATATATATATATAAAACAAAAGATTACTGCCAAGCAACACTATTTGTATTACTGGGATAAAGCTGTACAGTCTTGAGTGTCGTTAATAACACAGTTGGTTTCTGTCCCATCTGAAGGTCACTCTGGATGTTTCGTTCTCCTTGTCCTCATTCTGTGAGCATTCATATCCCTGAACAACTCTGAGGAAAGCCTGCTATCCTGACAGAGAGCCTTCTCCCTCAGAGTGATGAATTTTCCACGCACCTCAGAAAAAGCAGACCTCTCCACTGTCAGGAAAAGCACCCCAGAGGATCAAATTCCCCTCCTTACTCCAACCGACCTTCCAGTGAAGTTACCTGGAGTTCAAATGTAGTAAGAACTGAAGGATCTTACTTTCTTATACACATGGAAAAAAATGAGTCAGTCCCTTCTAACACTCTGCATTATTTTAAGTACTTGATTTATGGGGCACAGTTAAACTCTATCTGCTGGAACAATCCTCAGATAATGATGGGATCATGACGATGATGAAGATCCTAGATCATAATGGTGATTGTTACAATAGAAACAACCATGAAGACTAGATATTTAATCTCATGAATCGGTCACTTGTGCCCTGCAAAATGAGGTAATACTAGACAGAATTGCCAGGGTCAAATTAACAATAGCTGTTTTAACTCAGAGGCCAATTTATTTTCTGCCACTTCAATTTCTCTCCCATATTTTCCAAGCAATGATGTGTGTGAGCTGGTGACCATGCAAGTGCTGGTGAATGAGATTGGTCTGTTTGTGTTTTCACTGTTAAGCTGTCAAAGCATTCACATCAAAGGACTGAAGAACAAATTGCAATAGTCACAAGTACCCGCATTAAAGAGATGTTTTCATCCATGTGTATACAACTGCCCCCCAGCAACCCCAAACGAAAACCCAAACAAAAACCCAACCCCGCCTCAAGAAACAGAAGAGAACGAAAGAAGAACAAACAGAGGTGAGAAGAGCCGGGCAACGGGATGAAATGACAGCCAGTAGTGCGACGGGGGGGGCGGAGAACCGCTCCAGTCTCTCTAATCCTCAAACACTTCCAGGAACAACGGAGGAAAGAGTTCTGTGGGGCACTCCACCTTCATGTGCAGGAAGCGGCTGGCATGGCAGGCTCCGATCATTCGCAGGTCTGTCACTTTCATCAGCAGTTTTGGCCAAAAGTGTGCAACATGGTGTTTTCTGTAATTAATGTAGTGTTCGAATGCCAGGAGGAAACCCTCTTGACACTTTTCTATCCTCTCGACACAAACAAGGCCTGGGCGATCTGCAGATATAAAGAAGCAGAATTATCATTATTACTCATTTACCTTAATGAATTCCTGATCATAAATCAGGAAAAATAGGACAATTCTGTTGTTAGGAAAGGAAGGAGGGAGACCGAGGACATCTGGCTCTGCCACAAACAACTTCTTTGACCCTGGGCACATCACTTATCAGTACTACCCCTGTTAAAACAAGGAGATAATCCTTTTCTTCATCCTTTGCCTGCTTTGCCCATTTGGAGTATACCTGTTCAAGAAGTGTTTCCTTACAGTGACTAGAGCAACAGACACTTGATCTCAGTGAAGGCTTCTCTCTATGTCTTACTGTAAAACAGCTAATAAAGAACAAAAAAAAATTCCTTTTCAGATATCTAAATTACAGTTCTTTCTCTGCAGCCTGACCAATGCTTTGATCAAGCTTTGATCCACAGGTGAGCTGCAAAGGAAACTGTTATGGAGCACCAAGGAACAACAAAGGCCAAAAGTGTGGCTGAGTGTCTCAGCCGGCACCAGATGGGTGCTGGAAAAGCTCCTTTCACAAGTCACTCTTCAGGAGACACTTCTGGGAAAGCAGGTCCTCTCAACTGCCTTCTGAAACCCCTACTCATGTATCACTGTGTAGGGAACTAAAAAGAAATCAAAATGTTTTGATTGGGAAGGTCAAGTGCTGTGTTGTGATTAATGTGGAAACCTTTCTGTCTCAGACACAGCTAATGCTTGTAAATCAAACATTGTTTGATTTACAGTAACTGTGCATTGTTATTTAGTGCCCAATCTTTAAAAGTGGTCTTAAAACAAAACCTTGCCAAATCCGTCACTGCCCAAGAATGGAATTTCCTCTTTGGGCTGGCACAGTCAGTGGAAGCATATTTGAAAACATTTTTGATCTGAGAAGGGAAGAAACTCTTTGGAAATCATATGAAATGGTCTGTATTGCTACTGTGTCACACCACCAAGGGACGCGGTGCAAATGGTCCCAGTGTGGGGAAACAGCACAGCTCTCAAAAGCCTATTAGCAAGCGGTGGTGCCGTTAAGTAGGAAAACAAGAAAGCAGGTCAAACTAAGCACATGAGACTGATGGAAACGTGTATGAACTGTACTTCCCACCCACTGCATGACAGTGCTTAGGGGAAGAGGGAACTTATTGTAAGGGCAAGTGTTGCTAAATTATCAGTTTTTCATTCAAGGCAAATTGGCTCAGAACCAGATCTGATTTCTTTCTGACCATCATCCCTGCCTCCTCCCTAAGTACTAAACTGAGCAAGGTGCGTTACCAAAGCCACTTTTATGCCCATCTCTCTGAATACCCTGAATTTTTTTCCTAGTGCTCACCAAACTAGTTCCAAGCTGCACTGGGATTTTGAGAGAGAACTCCCACATTACTCTAGTCAACACTTCAAGATCTAACATACCCTATTTCTTTTAAAAAGAGGCTTGTGACAAAGACTAAAGAGTTTCAAAATGGTTGGGGTCCCAATGTATTTCTATTCTCACCTGATGACATGAGCAGAACAGCCTGAAGAAGGGCAACCTCGGTGTCATCCAGGTTAAATGAAGAAAGAGACATGCCCAGGTCAAAAATGGCATCAGACACTACGCCAAGACCCCCATTTTTCAGCTGGCCCCTTGTCACCGCCATCTCCCCATTTAGTGTTAAAGTCTCACTCTCGGGGTCATAGCGAACTGCTGCTCGGAGGGACATTATCTCCATACAGCAGCCTTTCAGAAGGATGATCTGGTCTTCACATGGCAGCTGCAGAAATTAGAAATGGTAAAGAGAAAGATGTGTTTTTCAAACTGAGTTGGTTTTACAACTACAATAAACCTACGAGCATGAAGTTGCCGTTCACACCCCAGGACACTACCTCGCATAGTGCAGCTACCCACCAAACATGCTGCTGACTGACTAGCTCCAGTGCACTGCAGAAACCTCCAAGACTC